ACACTGTAGTATTACTACTTGTATATAAGTATAGGATGTAGTTGATAATCAGCATTTGGGTTGTTGTTTATCACAGATCCAAGTACCTGTCAGAAATAGCTCTATAACATTGTTCTTGTCTCTTTATGAAAACTATTAAGATTTGTAAATAAGCTAATATATAAACTTATCAAACTAAAATTAAAAGAACTTTAATTGTAAATAAATATTTGAGCAGTGACAACAGGCAACAGAAAGATGTGTCCTCTCCCTGTGGTCAGCAGGCTGGAGACCAGAGTGAGGGATCTACAACAGGCAGAACTACAGTTAATCCACTGAGCAGGCTGAGAAGTCTTAACCACAAAGCATGAAAACTTAGCATAACTAGCATGCAGCTGATACCTTCGGATTGCCACACAGAGAAGCGTGATCGATCACTCCGTAGAAGACATCTCCACTGCTCTAGAGTCCAGTGGCGGTGTGCTTAACACCACTGCATCTGACACTTCTCATTGCCCGTGGTGATGTAAGGCCTGGATGAAGCTGCTTGGCCGCTCGATTCCATGGAGACACATGAAGTTTAGAGGTCTGTACCGATTGGCTCTGCAGGAAGTCAGCGCCTCAGCATCCACTGACCCCCGCTGTGTGGCCTTCCACTTCATGGCTGAATTAGTGTCATTTCCAATCGTGTCCACTTAGTTATAATACCCCTAACAGTTGACTATGGAGTGTTGATTGTTGGGCTTTTCTCTCTGTTATTGTAGGATCTTTGCCTTACTAAGATATGTATACTCATGTAAAGTGCCTCGAGGTGACTGTTGTAACTTGGCTATAAATAAAACTTAACTGACTTGAATATGAAGCTATTATGGGCCCTTTGGGTGAGTTTGAATGTAAAAAGTATTCCTGCATGAGAAGATATTTCTGTCTTACAACGAGAGAATGTGTGTGAGTAAAGCTTTGTCTCTCACCGAGCCACTTGGTTGATGACAGGAGCAAAGTTGGTTGGACCATACAGCTGAACAGTTCGCAGGCTCTGAAAGTAAGCCTCTAGTACACCTTCAATGCCAACACAGTTTGGGTTCTCGGAGTTAAAGTTCTGCAGAGAAGAAAATTCACTTTGTGAGGGAACATTCATACTGACGCCAACATTCAACGATGCTTTGACCTACCGCTAGAAATCCTGCAATACTGAGCTCCACTCTCTGTCTGTAACTTAACTTACCTTTACGTCCTTGTATTTAAATTTTATAGCACTCTAACCCCAAGGGGATAAAGTAGAATATTTTTCTACTGGTTTGACTGGCAATTTCATCTGTATGGTCTCCTCAAAAGCTAATTATCTTTGCTTACATACTGCTGATGTACATTATTATTCACCATACACTATAGCTTGAGAAGCAACCAATAATCAATATATATATATATATATACACACACATATCAGGCACAAATACCTGATATATGACCTGAAAGAGTGTCTACATAAGTATTCACAGGCTTTGTTTCCACTGATGATCTATCAGGCGATCGGTGGAAGTCATATTTCTACAACTTGGCTACAGTTCACTGACTGTTGCTATGACCGCAAAATCTACTTGAGATTTAGGAGCAGCAGCTTGTTCATATCATGCATCCTGAAGACATTATCATGACCAAGTCAAGGAGGGTATAGCATGAAAGCAAAAGTTCATGACTCAGTATATGCAGGTTTATTATATTTACCCTCTCACAGTTAACACTTGTTAGCTCACAAGAT